GGATGAGGGGTGGAGGGCTGGGAAGAAGCAGGCTGTACAATAATGTTTTGCCTTTCTCCACCAAGCTTCCAGTAGAGCTCAGAACATTTTAGAAAAGTGGGCGAGTCTGAGCTCATTTTAAATAACAACTGGGACAAAGAAGTAAAATGACTTCTCCAAGTCTCCTGTTGCTAAAATCGGGGTGAATGCATATGCCTCTTTCCCTGCTTTGCTGTTGAAACCCGTAGAAGAAACTCCTGGTGGTCTCAGTAGAGCACAAAATGTATACTTTTAAATGAGTTTGTTGCTCACATGACCTGGATCCTCATGCTGATGGTTTACATTCTACTATGAGAGGTACGGCGGTGTGATGTTCAAAAGGTAGTTTGTGTTTCCTTTACTTGTATCTATGGTGTAATTAAATAAAGACCTTCACACTCCAAAGAAACTATTCCAGCACCTTTCTCTGCAGTAAATGATGACCAAATAACAAAATGTTTTAAACTCTCAAAGACTGTAACTAAATACAGCCAGCATTCCCCTTCTTTCTGAATTACTGCAAGAGAGCCAAATTCTCTGTGGTGGCTCAGGAGATCCAGGGCACTTACTCATAAGTGAACAGGCACGCTTACTACACTGTAGGTGCATTGTATTGGGAATAGTGTTGTCCACATGTTGAGATGGTGAATACCTAAAACTAAGCCAAATAGTTCCCGTGCCTGAAATCCCTTCCTTGAGAGCATAGAGTCATTTCACAGTATAGGCATAAACTACATCGGCTTTTTTTTTGTGTGTTTTGAAAGCCAATTGATGTCTGTACTTACAAAGCACCATGAAGCAAACTCCACTGGAGCTCCACTGCTGGTGAGTTACCACTGCCAAGTGCACAGAGCCTAAAACGATCTGAGTTTGAGGTCCAGCACAGCATAGCTGCTGTGAAGAACTGTCATCATTTGATGTCTCTTAACAGCTTTTGAGTTCTGTAGTAAACATGGTGACTGCTTTAAAACCAGACCAGCAGTAGGGTGCCAAATGTAGGCTCCCCTTGGAGGTCTTGGGCAGTAACAACATTTCTGAATGTGTTAGCTGGATCTGAGAGCAGCTGTTCAGTGCACTTCGGACGTAGTTGACCATCTCCTACTATGACACCCTGGTTTCATTTCTTTGTAATTCTGAGTCATCTTTGACCTCTCAAGATGAAAACTTCTAAACTGTTTTTTAGAAAATTTCAGCTGAAATAGTCATACCATTTTTAAATGCCAAGCAAGATAACCACATTGTATTATCCATGTTAAAAATATTCTGAAATTTCTTCTGAGAAGCCCTAGCACCTTTGTGGCTCAGGGGAAAAAATGGAAATTTGGAAGTGCATCCTCTGCAGTAGAAATGCTCTTTTATCACCTTAAAGAACACCTGGCCATGTTGTAACCCTCTGAAAAATCACACTCATTGTATGAAGGCTCCTTTATCAGCAAAAGCTTTCATCACTGAGCATGATCCAACTCCTGTGCGTGACTGGACTTTGACTGCACATCCCTTACTGAACAACCAAAGGTACCCCACCACGCTCCAGCTCCCATGTTCCACCAGGAGTGCAGACCCTACCATCTGAGCAGGCCCATGCTTAGAGGCTATGAGGGAAATATAAAGCAACAGTGAGGAGGACACCTCCTGACACTGCTCTGGTTGGTTTTCCTGCTGGCAGGCAGGTAGAGAGCTGGAGGAAGCTGGTGTGGAGCAAAGCTGGGATGAAGGGGCTGAAGAAACACAAGAACAGTGACTGTGAGCCAGGATGCAAAAGAGGGACTTGCTGAACCAGGAGACTGGTGGTGCAAGCTCCCATGGGTGAGGTGAGGTCTGGGATTAGCTGGCCAAAGAGGAGGGAGGCTGCAGTGTTGCTGGGGATGGTGGAGATCAGGAGAAACAGAGTTGAAAGGACTTGTTGGGGTGTGGAAAGGGAAGGAGGAGCGAGGACAGGGACGGTGACATACAAGGTGGGAACAGAGACAGTGAGCCAAGGAGAGTGCAGGGCAGCTGACATCAAATAAAAAGACAAGAGCTGGATTTTGGTTTCAAGAGAGGAAAAGGACTGAGACATAGATGGAGAGGCCGAAGGGGAGGGAGGGAGAGGGAAGACACGTGGCAGAAGTAAAAACTATAACTTCTGACTGTAATGTGGGAGCAAAGGGGCCAAATGAAAGTCATGTAAGCAAGCTTTCTTTTGGTACTTCCAAACTCTTGGAGTGCCTCCTTATCCATAATGCTGTCCATTTTAGAAATGTTTAGCTATGCACATGGGCCATGTAGAACACCAGATGGGCAAACATACATGAATGTAAAATTACAATCTTCCAAGGGGTCATACAATGCACAGGTTGAAGCCCTACAACTACTTTTTTACTCCTCTGAAATAATCGTACCTTACATTTGACATCATGTATATCAGAAAATACCAGGATAAGTCCTGATTACTGCAAGGTCTGTGAGACAAGTTGAATCATTAGGGTTGAACTGTCTGAGAAACTGAAATCTCTGGAAGATTTTAGACCCATGCAGTTAGGAAGGCAAAGCTGCTGTAGTTTGGCTCAGAAATAGGGGTCTTCAGGATTTATTTTCCTGCAAAACGGAGAGCTCAAAAAAACTTGCATTCAGCTTTGCAGAGTTAAGTCCAATGGTCTGTAGTATGGACTTTTGAACCATAGTCTGTGAACCACAGGATCTATAGACAGCTTTTATAAGGTCTGTGTAAAGAAGCTCTATAGGAAAAACAGGACTTTTGTTTAAATTTGCTACAATCACAAATTTTACATATAGAAAGTAGGAAAAAGTTGCAATATCTTAATGAACAGTGTAAAGATAAGGAGGAGACCGGCGGTATTTCAATATCAGGCCTCCTCTTATGAAGTGACCAGTTCTACAGAGCCAAGGTTTAGCATTTCGGGGTATGGTTTTGTTTTATGCTCCTCAGGCAGGCCCTGTCTGCAGAGGATCACCCTTTCTGACAAAGATAAATTGCCCCTGTCCACTGTAGATTTAGGTTTTAGTTCCAGCTGGAATATGCTGGTAATCCTGAGGTACAAAATTATCTTCTGAATATATTGCAGTTAACTTTAGTCATATAAATCCAAGCATTAGCTGGATACTATAAATAGGCAGGATGTGCAAAGAGGCCAAGTTGAAAACGTGCAGGAACTACGCCTTTTTTCTTTAATGCAACCCCGAAGTTGTGCTACGTTTCATCATGTATAATATTTTTCATCTGAAAAGGAAATGATATGCATGTGCTTTGTGAGTGTAGTAATTAACTGGACATAGTGAAGCGTTGAATTTCACACTTTGGAGAAGTGGGTAGGGGGGATGGGTAAGTTTTTGTCAAATTTTCTTGCTTTTAGTGCTTTCTTGGAGGTAGTTTTCTGCAAGATTGGGTAGAGAGCGTAAATACATCTGGTTTATATTATATGATGGCTGTACTTTGGCAATGGAAAAAGATGGCACTTAAAAAAAAGGAAAGAAGAATAAAAAAGAAAAGCTTGGCAACTACAGAATGGAGCAACTATTACAAGAACTATCTTAAAATTCCCAGGATTTGTAATTTATTTTTCCACGCTTGCATTCTTCTGATGTTGCTGATGTTAAAGGAGTGAGACAGAGGAAATTCAGTAGGATTTTACAAAATACAGCTATCTCCGTGAAACAATCTCCTTTATTCAGGTTGCCCCCACAGCAGCTGCTGTGATTAACGTGTGGGTGGCAGCAAAAGGAATAGGAAGCAGGACTAATATGTTCACTTTAAAAAAATGATAGGAGATTACAATTTTTTTCTGTTGTTTTCTGCAGGCAGTGACCATGAAGTAGTGAAGATGGTCTCCCCCTTAACGGCAATTATCTATGGGTATAAGGCAGAAGTAAAATTAATGCAGATGTTTTTCAGAAATAGAGCCATGTAAGGCATCTTTGGTGGAAAAAGCTATTCAAGCAACGCAACGCTACCTAGTGATGTGTCAGCTACTGCAGTTTCCATATTTTATTTTCCTTCATATTTCCACTCAGGAAACACTCTTTTTTGCCCCCCTCACATTAACGTAAGGTGATCCCAAAGCACAAAGACCTGAGACTCTACTGATGTGGTAGATATTTTCATCTTTGAGTAAAGTTGGCGGGAGCCGAGGACACTGAGTATCTGCCTATTTTTGAACAAGGCAACGGGGTGTGACATGTGAGCACCTTCCAAGAGTGTAGTAAGTGATGCATCCCCTGGGGCTGTTTTTCACATCCTCTCACTGGGAAGAGTGCACCGCTTCAGCCTTTGCAGGGCTAGGGGCTGGAAAGCCTGGGAATCTGCTTTCCCTGCAGAGGGGTCTGGGCTATATGGCAGTACCCCCAGGTAGTTCAGCGACTTAGCTAACTTGAAATAGAGCACTGGAACAAAATATGTTTTGAGTGATTTTTAAGTAAAAGCTAATGTGAAAATGTGGGAGTTTGAACCAATGTAAACACATTAAATTTAAAATGATTTTCAAATGTAGTAAAGAAAAAAATAGTGTTCCTGCACTTGAAATTCTTAAGGGACACATTTTTCCTTCTGAGTCATGATTTAATTAGATTATATTTTATTAGACATTCTTTACAAATTTTAAAATACTGCTATTATACATGCACAAAGGAAAATCAGTTTGAACAATTGTATGTAGGCATTCATTGAAGTCAACCACAAAACAGGAACATTTTATGTCAGTTATCAATGTACTTGATATGTATATCTAAAGTGCATTATGTTACAAAAAATATAGAAAGTCAGCAGCACCAAGATACGTTCACAAAATAAATACACCAGTCAACAAAATAAATTATGGTAAATGTGACAATAATAATTGTCTTAGCCTTAGCAAAAAAAAAAAAAAAAAAAAAAATTTTTTTTTTTTTTTTTTTTTTTTTTTTTTTTTTTTTTTTTTTTTTTTAAAAAAAAAAAAAAAAAAAAAAAAAAAGAAAATTCACAATAGCCAAATGTGCAGTTTCAGAGAGCAACGGGGGAAAAGGTTTTATTCTGAGCATTTACAATATTTACAAGTAATAAATATTTTAATACTTCCCATATGTTCACTATTACAGAATACTGCAATATGTCTTCCAAAAATCTCTTGCTGAAAATGTCAGCGCCTCCTGCAAAGAAAAAAAGGACAGAAAAAATAGAAAAATTAATTTTCGCTTCAAATACATGGATACAAAATTAATAGCAAGAGTGCCACAGACTATAACGGATGTACATTGCTCAGAAACTTTTGCTATAATAGGGCAACAATGCTGCAGTTTTAGACATCTTTTCAAGACCTCTACCATATTTCTTTCAATGCAACTCAGCTATATGAAGACCTGCAGTTTGTCATGACGATGAGGGTCACTCAGAGAAACAGGAAGGGGCTTTAGTTTTCTTTAGAGCCTTATGCAAGAAGATTCCCAAGTACTACAGATAGAAAAAAATGTATCAACCTATAGTAAATATACCAAGTGCTAAAAAGAAAAAAGTACAGTTGGAGAAATGATAAATTGTTTCTGAAGATAAGAAAAAGCAAGTCTTTCTTGAATAGTGGCAATCGTGCCCCTGCTGTGTTAATCACTTGGGTGTAGTGCTGGGCTTCTGACTAAAACAGTCCCACTGGGCTTATTTGGTCAATCTTTCCCACCGATAAACCACCTGTTAAGACAAGGGTCTGTTCATCATTGAGGGAAATATTTCTATGCTGTGATGAACATGAGCACACTCAGTACTCATATAGTAGAGACTGCTCAGGTCTGGAAGTGAACAGACCCTTGACAGTGTCTCTAATTAAGTGCTTGAATGAATTGAAAGGCTGTAACATTGGAACTTTCCTTCCCTGAGCCAAAGAGCAGGGTCCTGAAAAAAAATTAGCATCTTGTCAAGTTTTGGTCCTGTTGCATTCAGTCAAAGCTGAAAGAGTCAGAGGTACATAGTTTTAAGATTTGGGAGTTTTCGAAGGGATGCTGGCAGCCTGGTGTGAGTTCTGCACTCTTCCCTTCCTTGTGAAGGTATGAGAACAAAAGCAGAGCCTGCTCCTATCCTGACAGTATATTTCTTATATTACAATATCATTTTAAGTTACTTCTTAGTGGTGCTGCAGGAAATGGTGAAGGGTTGGGCTTTTTTCCCTTCTGTCCCTGTGAACAGCACGTTTCCGTACTGCATGTTGGTTCCCTGGGGAAGAGCTATAGGGTGGAAGGCGAAGCTATAGGATGGAGCGTGGTTGGCTCTGTTGCTGGACTGATGGCCGAAGCTGTGGGTAGCGTTCCACATGGCAGAAGTGTGTGGGCGTGAGACACACACACCAAAAAAAAAAGCAAATCCTTGAGAGTTTAGGAGGGGTTTTTAATGCGCACATTGAATGTAAGACTAAACTTAACATTAGGGAGTCTACTCATCTGAAAGGTTTCTTAGGAAATTAAGTAATAACAGCTTAATTGAATTGGAATGGGAATATAGCTGGAATGTCCATGAGAAAGAATTTTTTAAGTGCCTGGAATGGAAATGCTAGCATGAAGCTCCTTAATAATTAACTAGTAATATTAGGGTGTACTCTGGCTGTATTACAATATGTATAATAATGGCACACAGTTCATACAGTGTGACTGTATATGTGGGTCTGTACTACACAGGCTTATTTTTAAGAGGTTGACATTTTCATTTTGGCTTGGATTTTAGGCTTTGTCTTGGAGTTTAAGCTAAGCCACATCTTGACAATGGGCTCTGCACTAATGACTACTTGCAAGCTATTGACTGTGATTTGGTCCCAGATTTTGCAAGATTGGCTTCTTTTAAGAGATGCTTCTTGTAGTAAGTCAAAAGATCTAGAGAACACGTTACTTTTGGTATTTTTTCTGACCTAAACCCAAAGTTTTGAGATCGAGATCGTGCAAAGGGAATTGGCATGAGGATTTTAGTTCAGTGTGTTGAGCAGAAGAGAAGCACAGTGAATACAGTGAAAAGCACGCTAAAGTTGTGTAAAATGCTGCTGCATTATGTACATCCACTCCTTCACTGGAAAGTAATGATGCTTCTTCCAAACTGCAGCTACAAAACCAGCTTGTATTGCTGCAGCATACGGAAGTCCTGTCTGTGCACACTTTTCCTTGCCCCCCCACCCACAGATAGAGCAGAAGTTCCTGATTTAGCTCAGGACAGCTGAAGATTCAGCCTCACTCAGATGTGGTTATCCCTCCATCTAAAATGTTCTTGCCCACCTTGTGCCATCAGCCACATAGACAACTGCCTTGAATCTGACTCATCCTAAAGTACATGCCAGGGAGTCGGGACTTGCTTTCATTTAAAGTTTAGAAATTAAATCTTTTACCAGCCTACTGGGATAACTAAAAGCTCATGTACTAGCTCTGTACTTGTGAAGGAGGAATTACGTTTTCCTGTTTCATAGCTTGCCTTTGTTTAATCATCTTCAATTAAGCATCTAAAATATCGGTCCTCGTTAGGAATCTGTTTCTTGCCCTGTAGAAATGTTGCATCTCAGGCAATAATATCAGTAAGGTAAAGCTGGAGATTGCCTTCAGCAGTCTGGGCTCCACAGTAAAGCTGACTGCCTTCAGCCATCCAGTCCTACTTGAAACAGAAAGGCTGAACTAGGAAAATCAACAGGGTTGTAGCTGTCATTCTTTTACATATCCCTTTGGATATATAACCAAAGACAGAGTAGTAAGAAAAAGAAATAACAGCCAAAATGCACTAGGATGTTTTTTCCCTGCATTCAAGATGTCTACGTGCCAAAGACAGGTGCTATTTATTGGCCACCACAGTTCCTTAATATCTGATGAAACATCGGGCAACTCCTGACCAGATCATGCCTTTCCTAAGGTGCTGAGACAAACCAGCCTCTCGTTCTTTGCTACTAACTGCTACAGCCATGCTGACTGGTTTGTGGTCTGGGACACAGAATGCCTGGCCCTAAATGCCCATAACTCTTGTTGATGCCAGCAAAAGTTGAGGCGATGGAGCATGTTGCAAACTATGGCCTGTAAAGTTTAACCCAGGCTGGATTTTAGTAAATCCCACAGCTGGTGTCTTTTTCTAAGGGATTTACTGTGAGCAAGTGGCACTTCTCCTATGTCCCTATTCTTCCAAAGTGACAGGGAGAAGAAGAGAAAAGGGTGAGGTTTTTGCTGTTGAAAATGCAAACATTTAAGGAGAACTGAGGAGTGGACTCCTTTGCTTTGTCTGCAAGTGTGTGGACTTCCACTCCAGGTAAGACGACTGTAAGGAGATGAGTCGCTTGGGGCACCTACGCTGAAGTCTCTAGCTCTCCACTGCCCTGAAAACCCTTCATTGTCATACATGAGGGAAGCACGTCTCCCTCCAAAAGCAGCGCTCAACATTTTTCAGCAGCAACGTAATTGTTTCACGAGCTGGTAAAAAGATGGAGCTGAATTAAAAAGTCCTAATGGCAGGGAAAATTTTATGGCAAAAGGCTGGTCTGCATTGTTTGCAGATATTACTAAGAGAGAAATTTTCCGTGTTCTCCCCTAAGGTTAAACAGTAAAATGAAAAACTGTAAAGTGAGGGTAGGAAAGTTGCCAAAAAGGGGAGGCGCCGAGAGGGAGGAACGAAAACTTCGCCATTTTATAGATGCAGAGCCTTAAATAAAACTCAAAGCTTTCAGTCTGCTGAGGCCCGAATGTGGGACCAAGATCTGAAGTGAGAGACACTACGGTTAAAACAGGAAAGGAAATTTTAATGGCCATGATGTGCTTTTTTTTTTTTTTTTTTTCAGAAATAATTTTACTTACTACTCACTCAGCTTCAGGAAGCTCATTTTGGCAATAAGGGGTTTACTTGCATTGTTTGCCACAGAAGAGAAAGACCTTGTCACCAGTGCAAAGTGGAGAGGGCACTTACCTCCAGAAAGCACCTTGAGACTGTGCACTGCTTGAAACGCCGCTGCCCAGCTATGAGCGTGAAGGCAAGCTATTAAGCTATTACTCCAGGCTGTGTGAAGCCTTGGCCTCACACGCTGAAGGATAACAATTTCAAGAAATATACAGTATGCCCCCCAAAAGGATGTAGCAGGATTACCTTAAAGTGTGATTATGTGTAGTAACAGAGTTGTCCAAGAATGGACTCTCAGTCGTGCCGCTTCCATACATGCCAGAATTTAGCCAAGTTGAGCGGGCTCGCCTCTTTTTCTTCTCTTGTTCCTTACGTTTTCCAGGCTTTGCTTTCTTTTTCTTCCCTGATACCTTCAGGGGCTGCTCCTTGTAGGTCTGTGATTTGTTTGTCTCCTGAGTTAGGTATCTGCCCTCATCTTCGCTACCAAATCGGACAGGGTAGTTCTTCGTGTTGGTAGCAGGCTTAGGGTTAGGTGAAACCTCTGAAGTTGCACGGATTTCTGCAGTGTTGACACCTTCAATTAAATTTTGAAGGAATATTCTTCTTCGTAAGTCTTGGATTGACTTGCCCTTGTCATGCAATAGCTGGTGCTCTGATACAGCCCGTTTGCTAAAGAAAGAGAAGAGAGGAGGGAAAAAAAACTTTTAGGATTTAGTTATTGCCCGGTACTTGGCAGAGCTCCTGTCTCCACTGGCAGGGGCAGCATGAGTGACTGTGACCCAGCTTTCAGGCTTGGAGACATCCAGTATAGTCAGACTGCTGGAGCAAGTCCTGCTTCTCAGAGTAGCTGCTCCCTACAGAGAAGGGAAAGACCTAAGCGGGGAATAATTCTCAGCTGACCCATCACACACCACTGGACCTGGAGTCGGATTAGTCACTGCTCTGTTCTAGGAAAGCATTGCAGCTCTTAATATATCACACTTCAGGCAGCAAAAGCAGGAAGGCAGTTGTCAGAGATAGGAAAACTAAAGGGTCAGATAATGGAGCACTGCAGTCAAGCAAGAGGAGGAATAATGAGTATGTTGTACTGAGGCCGGAAGCAGTGTTTATACAGCATCGTTCTAATAATTTTCTTCTGCTCAGTCATGTACTTCAAAAAGGTAAATAAATGCATAAAAGTGCATTTCATTTCTAAATTTAAATAAGTGCAATTGCAGGAGCGTAATGGAAAAATGTTCGAATTTGGGTGCCTAAAACGTAGGTGGTTCAGTCCACAATGAGCCATCCAGAGAGGCAGCAGCCTGAGCATCAGCAGAGATGAGCCTTGAACTCTCCTGTTGATTTTACTGCTTGGCCACTTGTGTCTAATTATGGTTTTAGATGCCTTTCTAGTATTCCTTTAAGCACAAACTTTTGGGGCCAAATTTCTTGTCTGCTGTGCTCTTTGAGTTTTAGGCTAGCCCTCTTCACTGGATCTTCTTCAAGAACATCCTGGTTTGTTTGTGTGGGTCTCTGGTACTTCTCCAGAGTTCATGACCTAATCTCTGTCTTGTTTTCGAGGAACTGGGAGACGGTTAGCTGTCTGTCTTTTAGAGAAGTTGTACTGGCGAAAGAGGTATGAAACATCTGAGGAAAGAAGATACAAGTGGCACCTGGCTAATAAATAACTGTGAGAAAATACATGCTTTTTCCTTGATGTAGGATAGACACACAGCTGCACTGTGAACCACAGAGAGCGCAAGCTGGGATCTTAGCTACATTCCCATGAACGCTATAATACAGTTTATCCATCCAATTGCCCTACTTCGGTGTGCTGAGATTGGCTACGTATCCTCTCATTTTGCACCAGGGTACTGCATGTGACTGGATTTTTACTGGCCAAAGAAAATGAATTCACTGCCTTGCCTGTCATATAATCATTTGGTCAGTTAGCTGGATAAGAAGTTGTTTCTGCATGTGGGTGAAACGGGAGAAGACAGAACTGAGTGAATATCCCTTCCTTCCATCCCATCCCTAATTATCCTGCTACGTTACCAGGTTTCAAAATGTGGTGGACAAAGACAGTATATTAAATGATTGGGAGTGTTCTGTAATTTATCTTTACCGGTCCCTTCAGCCAAACACTTTAGATTTGTGGTGGGATCAACAGTAGAGCTATTTGGAATTGGCAACTTCAAGTAGCATTGCTTTAAGAGCATCCCCTTCACTTTTTGTCTTCGCAGAGCTGCACCTTTTGAGTATCAGGTTCAAGTGATGGATTCAAGTGATGCTACATCTCTACCGCTCAGTGTAAAATTCAGTCCCATTCCACAATGAGACTACAAGGTGGCGGTTTGTTTTGCATGAAGTGATACAGTAGGGATACTTGCTCAAAATCAGGCCTAGCTATATACTCAGGTTTGTGAGTGCGCATTTGACCACATATTGTCTATGTTTTAAGCGTCCCTAAATCCATTTTGGATTACTTCAGACTTTAGGACAAGTATTTCGTGCCCTTCAACTCAATGTCCCTAAGCAAAAATGCAATGTGATAACACTGTGCTGAACCCATATTGTTTCATTATCTTCAGTGCAGCTGTGACCATTAACGCAAGCTCAAGATCTCCCCCAGGAGAATTTTTTTGACCAGTGCATTCCCTGAAGCTCTCCAATGGCCATCTCTAACAACCTTCTCGCTAAGGTGACTGATTTGCAAGTACACTAATAAAACCAGCACCCTGGGCTCCTCTGAGTGGTACGCTTCTGTGCTGCTTGTCAAACTGTCCATTGTGGCTCACGTTACACTCCTAGCTTCAGTAATCTATTTTCCCAGGATATTTGCTTGGGAAATTCTCCTTTCACTGTTCTAGTTTATCAAAAGCACACAAAATCTTAGTCCCTTACTCAGTCTAAAACAGTACGTCTCATATGTGATGAGCAAAGCTTTCCTACTGCCTCTTGCAAACTACCAAGGATAATTCCTTTTATCACAGACAACCTAAAGCTGCCTTAATCCTGTAATGTGTATTTGGTCAATTTACCCACTGTGACAAAATCTTGACTCTCTAAAGCCTGTTATTAAAGTCCTCTTGATTGAAAAGCTGTTCCATTTTGCAGAGCTGAAACCTAGAGATTTGGTTCCAGTACACACAAGGCAGTCAAAGAGCATTACAAGATCTACATCTTGTGTGAGTATGCATTTCCAAAATAATGTAGGGATTGACGTGTCAGGGGTTAGTGTGCCAAAGAGGGTGGGTTTCTGTTTAAATGTCTGTATGATATTTAGCACCAAGTCTGGCCCCAAATAACATTCTGCTATTCCAGATGATTGTATAACATTACGTAGTGTTACATTTCACATGACTTTTATTACTCAGCCAGACTTAAGGATTACATTTTGCCTACCAATTTCCTTTGTATGCTCTAGATCAAAAATCTTCTTAAAACAAAGAAGATGTGGTAGATACATATCTCTGTGACCTCCTGCCTCCTTCTGCCTCACTTATTCAAACAACTCCTGTGTTTGTATATCGGGGAAAAATACTTGCCCAAGAAGGCTGATGTAAGAAGTGCTTCCTAATGGAGATATCAACAATATCTCACCCACACCCTGAGAGTAGGAAGGCAATGGAAACTGGAATGATTGCATTCACATATTGGGTACAGTATGTAAAAAAATATTAGGCTGTTAGGGTTAAGATGACCCACTAGAGGTCCCTTCCATCCTTCTATAAAATGTGCTTCTCACTCAAGGAAAAAGAGTCTGACCCCAAACAAAGTGCAGTAAATTCTAAGCTTGCGTGTGGTAGGCACTTTTGAGAGCAGGATGTTGATGGTTTGTATTTGACCGAAGTGTCTGAACTAATTACTGTGTCCAAGTGCTCTATGCACATATGGGACCTGATGTCTCCTTATGGGGAAAACGGTAGAAACCCATGACTTGTGACTATTCTGACTTCATGTGCTTCCAGGTAAGCTGTTCTTTTCAGGTACATGCCCTCTTTGGTTTTTTCACTGGCTATCTAGCGTCACCGAGAGGCAGCATTCTTCAAGCAACTCTCAAGTTGCTCTTATCTAGCTGTTGTTATCCTTAACTAGTCACATTCAGTCTGATCGTAAGTTCTGCAAAATAGCTGGAAAGGATTCAGTCAGCTCTCTGGCTGGGTTTTGCAAGACCGAGCGCCCTTGCCACTGGCTCCAAAGGGAGTGAAAGCTGCTCGACCTATCTCAGGGTTAGGAAAAATATTTTGAAGAGATCTGGGGACATGATGCTGCAGTGTCCGGGCACACTGATAAAAAGATCTAATTTCACTTTGAGGCATCACTGGGTTTCTCAGAAGTTCTTCAGCAGCTAAAGCATTTCTATAACAAATAATATGCATGGCATTCTTCTCTTGGGACAGTTTGCTATTGCTTTCCATAGGAGATTTGCCTCGGTAAACTCTGCAAAACTAGGCCCATGTCATTTTGATTATTTTTGCGTGGCTATAACGATGTGCTTCAGTATTTTCACCCGTTACTGTTAAACCAGCCTTTGACAGGAGAAAAAAAAAAAAAATCTCCAGGCTTAAGTGAGTTATTAACCATTAACTCTAGGAATGGTTTGTGGTGATATTAAAACAGGACACATGTTTGAGTGCGGTGTCTGTGTTTGTGTTGTACCCACAAACAAAACTACGTGAATGCCACTAACTGACAGCTAACTGGTTTCTTGAGTTATTAACCATTAACTCTAGGAATGGTTTGTGGTGATATTAAAACAGGACACATGTTTGAGTGCGGTGTCTGTGTTTGTGTTGTACCCACAAACAAAACTACGTGAATGCCACTAACTGACAGCTAACTGGTTTCTTCTGTGAGTTTTACGTGCCATAGCAAAGAGGGAGCTGAGAAATGCATTTTGACTGCTTGGCTTCCACTTTCTACCCACCCTCCCTCCCCCCCAGGATGGAATGGGGATGTTGGGAAGACCTCCAATCCTGACCTTTGAAAACAAGTGTTAGAACAATGCTAGCTTCGAAAAGAGAAAGAGTATTTCTTAGCAAATCTAACTTTTTTAAAAATAAATTTGGCTTAGGTCCAGCTCAGAGTTTCCTAGCCAAGAAAATACAGCATTTGACTGAACTTCATTTATTTTAGGGTTTTTTTGATTTCTTTTTTTCTATTTCTGAAACTGAAGTTTGGTTCCTCTGTATCCCCAGAGAAGAAAATAGCCGCAAATAAAAGACATAGCTCAACAATAGTTTGAAGGAGCACAAATCAGCTAAGCGTTAAAGGACTGGGAGGAATTATCAGCAATAACATGTTCTACACAATTTGCTGTAGGAGATTTGTAATAGCTGTCTGCCTGGTGCCAAGGTTTAGGTGTGTCTGAAGTCACTTCACCTGGGGGATTTTTTTTTGTTGTTGCTTAAATGGCAGAGGAAGTGCTATTTGGAGATCTTGTCCTTATGAATGTAATAAAACAGTTTCAAGGAAACCCATCTGAAATTCAGTTTGCTGTGTCATGTTTCCCTATATATTGTGTTTGGATTTTCCAACCCTCTTTCTCCAACCTGACTCCTTTTTGAACTTCATAACAATACAGCCCTCCACTGTACGACTGAAATGTTTCTTCCTCAGAAAATCTGATGCAAGTTCAGTGAAAAGGCCAGCGAGTTCGATGTGTGAGACAGCTGCTCCCACATCAGCCCAGTGGCTTCTCTTCTGCACTTTGCGTAGGGGTATTAGGATAAACCATGTTGATTATTTTGGAAGGAGCAAAAAGGTCATTTCCTGAACAGGCTCTCTTAAGTTACATTATCATTTATCAAAAAATATGCTTCTGCCTCCAAGGCGGATACCGGACTCCATTTGCGTTTTTTAATTTAGTTTTTTTTCTTTTTTTTTTTTTCTGAAGTGGCAGAAACCCAGAGAAATTGCTCAGTACTTCACTTTCCTGACAGCTCTCACTACCGCGTGTTTTCCCCTCTCCTTATCAATACTGGCCGCCCGCCAGGCCTGAAGAAGGATATTGGTACTTAGTGTCACAGCGAGCACTTTGATCAAACGGGAGCTTTCCCACCTGGAGACCCTGCCAGGGCTCCGAAAGGTTGGGGACGAACCCCCCCAGCCTCTCCCCTCGCCTTTAACGTCTCCTTCCCAAAAGCTTTGGAAGTTCCCACAACTGAAATGCACCCCCTTTCCCTGCCCCAAACGCCCTCCTCCACCCACGGCTTAGACCCCCGACCCCCCCGGGAGCACCTGGGGCAGGTAACCCGGAGCCCCTGATGCTGGAGGATGCAAACCCCCCTCTATCTCCCCCCACCACCCCATGAGCTTCTCCCGGCGCTGGCAGTCGGGGTGGGGGGGCCAACCGCCTCCCTCCCCACCCGCACCCGCGGAAGAAAAAAAGCCAGAAAGAGGGTGAAAGGGGAAAATAAATAAATAAATAAATAAAAGAAAAAAAGAGAAACTCACAGTCTGCGGCTGATCCCCTCTACTGATCTCCCGGAGGAGGGCACGGAATAACTCAGCAGAAACACCGCGAAACTCCACTGCTGGAAGAGTTTAGTGAACATTGTATCCTCCGGGGCTTCAAACCTGCAAGGAAAGGGAGATCAGTCCCGGGGAGGGGGGGACACATGCGCCGGTGCCGTCCCCAAGAAATCCTCGCTTTCGGCTCTACCAGCTCCGAGGTTGTGAAGGCATAAAAAAAAAAAAAAAAAAAAAAAACCCCAAACTTTGTGAGCCCTCGGCAGCGGCTCACTTCTTCCAAACTCCGCTCCGTCTCTCTCTCCCTTGCTGTCTGCCTCTCCCTCTTTCTCTCCCTCCCTCTCTCCCTCCCTCCCTCCCTCTCTCGCCGTTCCTGGCTTCCCGGAGGCAAGTTCTCCCTCGATATTAGTTGAAAAATCATCTGGTTTCATATTGGAGCGGGGTCAGAAGGAGCGTCCGTCTGTCTCCCTCAGCCCGGCTCAATCCCACCCCGCTCAGCGGCTCTCTCAGGGCAAGAGAAACCCTCTCTGCAGAGAAGGAAAGACTCCCCAGAAAAGTCAACTCGGCTGCCCCTCTTCTCTGGAAAGACACACACACACACACACACACACGGAGAAACACATAGAGATTCGGCAGGGAGTCGGTGGGGAAATGCATCTATACATCAGTCTTAAAGTATACCTGGGGAAAAGAAGGAGGAAAAAAAAAAAAAGTAAAAAAAAAAAAAAAGCCTGCTTCCGGAAAGTTGGGTCCACGATTGTGCCAAGGAAAGTAAATTTAAGGAGAGAGCGCTGCCCGAGCTGGAGAGCCCCGGAGGTGGGAGAGGAGCGGGGGCCCGGGGAGGCTCAGGGGCTGGGGGGCATCCTCGGCTCCGCAGGTTGGATTGGGCTGGAGCCTGGGAGGTTCACACGCTCCCGAGCAGCTTCTGGGAGACCTGCGGGAGGACGGAGGGGTGGGTTGGGTTGGTTTTTTTTTTTTGGTTTTTGGGTTTGGGTTTTTTTTTGGTTTTTTTTTTTTTTTTGTTTTTCTGATAG